TGCAATTCGCAATTCGAAACGTTCACAACGTCAAACGCGCGCGTCACGCGACGGCATATAATTTTAAACACATTTTACGGTAAAATATTGTGAAAGTATTTTTTCATTGGGAGGAATATACGGTGTTTAACAAATAAAAATCTATAAAAAATTTAAATAAATTTATTTCAGTGCAACTAAAAAATGAAAAATGTCATGCGAGAAAATATTTTAAAATTCACTCGCAATTAACTGTGCGTAATTACGAAAAGTGTGCAACTCGCGTTATTGACTGTTAAATTTGTTTGAAACTTTAATTCGTCAGAATTTTTGCACACAATCTCAGCACGCTGGATACGTTGGGGTTTAAGTATTTCCATCAACGGAAAATGGGCACAGGTAACTAAGCAACGATCTAGCTATGAAAAAAATTACGGCTTGAAATTGCCGACGGTTTTTTGTTTGTGCTTTAAATATAACGTAATATTAATTTAAAAAAATTATTAAAATTCGCACATATTTTAAAACTGGAAGATTTTCTAAAAGTGTAAAATAAAAATCCACCTTTTTTGGTTAACAAATCTATGTTTTTCAAATTATTACAACTTCCGGGGTGTTTTCCTAAAGTGTCGTCCAAAGCGGATAATATTTTTGTAGTTTTGATATTAAAGGCTTTAGGCCTTTCTCTTAACTTGCTCAAGTCGCTAATTAGTCCTAACAATTCATACGCTATAGGGTATACTTGTTGTAGTATGCTTGAATCGAAAAGAACTGTTGCTGTTCTGCCTTCCTAATAATTCAATGTCACCCTCAATCTAACTGAAAGAAGTAAAACATTGCCTACATTTAGGCAGATTTAGCAAAGTCACACACCTACTAATTAATTTTTTGTGTTTTGGCAATAGAAACTATTTCAAACTTATACGTAAAATCGGATGGCTAACGCATTTAAGCGGGTTTCTCATAAATATAATATTTCAAAATATCGACTTTGGCCGCTGATAAATAAAAATATCAAAAAATTTAATTCCACATTGCACTGGTTTTTAATTCACAACCGTCCAAAAATCACAGAGCATCAAGATCAAAAACTGAACTGTCATTTAAAAGGCCAAGTAGCTATATTACTACTCAAATAGCTTTTTTGATAGTAGGCATATAAGAAAAGGGACAACTAAGCTGTGTGAATAAATGCACGTTCAATTATTAAATTAGTCCTGACAATTAACTGACTATAGGGCACACGTATTACTGTAAGTTATAAAATCAAAAAAAAGAAATTTGCTGTTTTGGAAAAAAGTAAAACGTCGCTTACATTTAGGCAAATTTAGCAAAGTCACACACCTATTAATAAACTTTTAGTGTTTTGGCTCGGCATAATAGAAACAATTTCGGTATTGAGTAGATAATGTGTAGTAAAAATAATTCAAAATGTTGACTCTGCCCGCCGATAAATTAAAGTATAAACAAACCAGTAAGGAAGATATAAGCTTGGACCAAATATTTTATAACATACTGTCGCAAGTTTTAAAGATCAAGAACGGAAGCATAACAAATAACATACATATAACTCAAGTGATCGTAATATTATGGGTTGCGGTTTGGACCGAATTTATTCTCATTCAGTTAGTGCTTATAATTACAGTAAAGTATCGTACATACGAGTATTGACTTAAATAATTTTAAAGTCACCTGGTAAGTCCGAAATCACTATATTAGATATATAGGGGCCTGGGGTAGTATTGACCCCTCATAAACTGAGCGATATATATATACAAGTATGTATATATGACGCCCTTTGAATTTCAGTAAAATAACTCACATATAATATTAACGGAAATATACGGTATAAGGTCAAGTATCCCACAGACTGAGCGATATTTTCATTATAAAGTTACACTGAGGTCTATATATTCGGTATGTGGAGGCTTAAAAATGTATAGTTCAATTTTCACAAGAAGAAGAATCAGATGGAGAGGGCAGGGCCTCACCTTCTTTTTAAAAAGTTTTAAACCACAAGTGCCCACCGATATTTTGATGGCCTGTAAGAAATCACAGATTTTGTGCATAAAAGGACTTTAAGTCTTTAAGAAATTATATAGAAATGTAGGAGAAATATACCTTCATTTCAAAGGGCTAGTTCATGGGTAGTCTCATATGGTCTCCTACATTTCTATATAATTGCTTAAAGACTTCAATAAAGCACTTATAGAGCTGAAAGCTCTACAAGCTTTGTTTGAAAACACTAACAGATGATGGGCCGGGATTCAAGACAGTCTTAAAACAGGAGGAATTCTTAAACTTTTAAAACACAGTAGCCATAGAAGAAGCTGATTGATGATTAGCTATGAAAAACTGCGATTTGGGAACACTTATGACACTTATTATAAATACGTGGTTGAGTTGAAGAATCACCTCCTAAGTTAGAATATTTAGAAGCAGGGGACTTTTTCCTCAACTTTTCCGTACAGATCCAAACCATCATGAAGAGGTTTAATAATTCTTGTTTCCATATATTGCACTCTATCGATTTCTCTTCAGTTGATTTTAAGTACTCGAAGGGAGGTGGTGTCTTTTCAGCAAAATTAGATACCAAAAACGCTTTCCAACTACCAACCCACTGCAGTGTCTTCTGAGCGAAGATCACAGCAATTAGAAAGCCGTGTGGTTCTGACACAACACAACAAAAAATATATTTCCCATATACATACGGATGGCCAAGCGGCTTTGAAATAATTAAAGTATCTTAGGGTTTCATGAAAGATAGTGAAATAATGCCTTGATCTAACATCCTATTTCACTATAAACATGCAATGAGTTCCAGGAGACGGTGACCACCCGAGTTCGATAAATAGGTAATATAGATGCCTCTGGCTACTTGTAGATATTTAAATGTCAAAGATATTATATATATAGCTGAGTTACGGTGAAGACAATCCCTGACGTGTTCAACAAGCAGACAAACGTGACATAAATGGAATATAGGTCACAAATGCCGATTATTAAAATTCAATAGGCATAACATGTCAGCAGACTGGATATACCATAGAATGATTATTGTAGACGCTGCCAAGCAGTAGAAGAAGAAGAGATATAGAACACCTTTTGTGCGAACGTAAAGCTTTGTATAGGAAAATAATCGCAACTATCCGTGGAGGATTTCTTGGCGATGTTGCGAAAGTTACGCAACTTTTTGATTTGATATACTTCATAAGTGGCACAGGGGGGTTCAGAAAGAACATAAGAACATAGAGTGAGGGAATTTTTGTCCCAACCTATAAGCTCAGCTGTATTTTCAGACATCCATCCTACTGATGACCGACCATTCACTTAGATGCTATAGTCATAGAAATTGGTAGAGTATTCTATATTAACCACTTAGAGCTAAACTAACATCTTAGAAAGCCTTTGTAAAAGATATGTGAACCAAGCGATGTTCATTTCTAAATTTACTTTATAATGGTTAAATTTACAATCTGTGAGAATTCTTTTATTCTCAGAACGCTCTAAATAAAATAAACAATCACATTTAAACTGAACTGGCTTTTTCACATATTGCCTGAGAATATGTTAATTTCATAATACCCATAGAATAGACCAATAATGCAATTTACCAAAAAAAAAAATGAAAAATCACAACAACACACGCACACAATCACGCGAAGTTGACTAGAATACTCAATGCGGCATGAAAATCTCAAAAGAATAACAAAAACATATTTTAAAATAAACTTTAAAATATTAAAATAATAATTGACGCATGCAGCAGGAAACAACAACAACACATACACATATGCAATACAATGCGAAAAATGAAATGCAACAAGCAATTACAACAAAAAAGAGTCAATAAACGAGCATCCTTGGCAGCGCACAACCCTCAAGGAAGCCGCCGGCGCTGCAATTGCATGCAAACTGGTGGATAAAGGGTGTGAAAAGTGGCGGCACGCGTCAAGCGAGAAACAACAAAGGGACGGTAGAGTGTTGTAAAGGCACATGAATGTGTATATATATGTGTTGGTGTATATAAATATCGTATGAGATGGAAAAAAATGCATAAACAATGGCAATATGTCAAATGTCTGGGCGTTGGACTTTGTAATCATTACACCGGAATTCATTACATGACAATATATTGTACATACATACAAACATATGTACATACACTTATGTGCGACACTTAACACTCACATCTACTTGTAACACCACCCTGAAATTTTATGTCAAACTTTTTCCATATTCCTTCAGTAACTTCCTTTCCCAACACTTTGTTTTTATTGCTGTTGTTGTACTATTGCATAACCAAAGTTTTTGTTAGTGTTTTGACAAGTGCCGTTTGTTTGTCGAAGAATTTCTCTATTAAATATAAAGTGTGGCGCTACGTGCCTTGTCCGTTGACTGAGATTAACTGTAAAATTGCGGTACACAGACGAGTGCGTAGGTAAAGCGTGTGTATGGTACGTGTGTATGTGTGTGCGCAAATGAGTTGCAAAAAATTAAGTGCGAAAAAGGGTTCACCTAGCATTCAATCTTTCGTGGCAAGCCGAGGTGCGACAAATGCAAAGTAAACCTTTTTTTGCACCTCATTTCACCATACATATATATACATACATATATGTGACTGCCTCGGTCGAAGAGTCATGTCGAAAAATTCTAAATCAACAACTACAAAAAAGTCGTTGAGCATTTGTTTATTTAACTTAAGTCGGCCGCTGCTACTGGTACTACAGAGCTCGTGTGTGTGTGCTTGTGTGTCCCACAAAGCACAATAGATTATTGTTATGCGTTTTAACACCCTTCAGTCACTCAGCGACCAACACTATATACATACATATGTTTTGTTGCTGAAACTCCCCTTTGTTTTAAGTAAACTTCTGTCTGCTAGTTTTGGCGTTGCTAATGCCGTTTAAGCCTAGTCTAAAACGTTTATTTATCAAGCCTATCATACTTACTTGCTTGCTTTTTCTATTTTCGTACGTGTTTTATGTATTATTTTTAACGGTTTCTTTGTTTACTTTTAGGTGATCGCCTGCTGGACATACCTTGTAAAGTGTGTGGCGATCGAAGTTCGGGCAAACATTATGGCATCTACAGTTGTGATGGTGAGTAAAGCTTTTCAGCAGTTCTTTGTAGCGCACAATATAACGTAATTAGGATATAGTTTTCCTCTAATTGTTGGAGAAAAAGTTCTAATGTGAATACCCGCAATGTATAAATGCTTCTTTCTAATTAACGTTCTAATGGTCTAACTAATTTACATCGAGTTCTATATTCAAAGCACGAGGTGAAGGTTGGACATTATAAATTTTATATTTCCAAGTCGGAGCGATTTCGGCTGCTATTCCATTCCTATTCTATGTGCGCCCATATGTGCAAAGGCTGCATACTTAGGCGGACATGTTTGGCCGGATTTTAACTTGTAGCATCATATTAATAACTGATGAAATATTCATCATTATATACCAAGAATGACAGAGTCCTTCTTTCCCATTCCTCTGTCCATGGCATCACGAACTTATGTATTTTGGCATGATATGCACTTTAAAATTAGAAGAAGAAAATTTTTCTAAATTTATATTTTATTTTGCTTTTGATTCACTTGCTCAGTTGTTTAACTAATTTTCATTTAGGAAGAGTCACGGTTATTTAGTCTGACATTGTCTTCCACCTCGACTAGAATGTTTGAAATGTCAACGAACAATGAAAGAGCGTTCAAAGCCTATTTTTAAATCACTGCATTGGCTTTATGCAATGTCAATTTCAAGTTTTCCCAATTTCTGTTTTTAATTTTTTCGAGCTTCGAAATTTCAGTCCATATTAGATTCTGTCAAGCACACGGTCTCACAATTTTTCCCTAAGAACTTAAAAACAGTCTCTACATGTACTACAGGTTATAACCTGCACTACAAACTGTTTTGTAACGCACTGTGACAAATATGTCCTTAAGTAAACTACCGATTACTTTTTCCATTGGACAGGCGTTTGCAGTTGCCCAAGTGTATTCTTATGCGCTTTTGTCAGAGTAACGCCCTCTAACATAAGCTTAAGCCTTCATCATAAACTTCAAGTCTCAATTTTTAACTTCGCAGGTTGTTCGGGCTTCTTTAAGCGCAGCATTCATCGAAATCGCATTTACACCTGCAAAGCAACTGGTGATCTAAAGGGTCGCTGCCCCGTCGACAAAACTCATCGCAATCAGTGTCGTGCCTGCCGTCTGGCGAAATGCTTTCAATCGGCAATGAATAAAGATGGTAAGTAACAAAGCGGAAACAATAATAAAATTAATTTAAAATTGTGTGTGGAAGTGGAGTGGAATAACAAAAGAATGGCAAAGACAACAAAGAAGTTTGAAACACTGTTGGTGTCATTTTGTATTTAACGCATTTCATTATTTATTTTGTTTGCTAATTTGCCACAATTATTCGTAAATTAGCAGGAAATGAACAAACGTAACCGTTATTATTTTGATAGGCAAAGTGAAAGGAATATCCTTTTGTAGAAAATTTATTTATTTGAAGCGCTTTAATTTATCAAAACGCTGTGGGCATCACTTTGTGGCATAAATTATTGCATTTACAAAAAAAAAAAAAAAAAAAAATATTTTCCGAAATCAACATAATTTAATTCTTCATATAAACTCTCAACCGTTGAAATATTTTTTTTACTGTGTATCGTTTGCGCCGGTTCACTGCCGTTGGGTTACGACCGTTACCGCTCGACGTTATCACAAGTAATCCAATAATCAACACCAATAACCATCCGCTTCAGAAATGGATCGATTTTGTTTCGATTCATCAGCTTTTTTCAGATGGAAATTTGTCCATGAGGTTCTTCGCACTTCTTTTTTCCTCCAGCCTTATTTAAATGCTTCCTATTCCTGTGGTAGTCTGTAAGAAATCGGAGACAAGATGTTAGGCCATATTATCTATAGCTATCCACTATTCACTGGTTAAACCGTTAGCTCCCAAGGTCTCCATAGATTTTATTAGAAAAGGTGTATACTGAAGCGTTTCACGAACATTTTCAGTTAAAAAAGATGTTTTCAGTGTCAGCGTTTTGTTATTTTCATTTCTTGTGTACGATAGGTTTAGACTGAGATTTCCAGAATTTTTATTTCCTATGCAGTTTTGAACTACTTTTTGGCAACATTCAAAGGGAAACCTGTCTAAAAACGATATTTCTCCTCTTCGGTTTTCAAAACTAAATCTCATTGATAATATCTCATAAGACGAATCGGTATGCGAACCACACATGTCGTTGCATGTGACTCTTAGAGGTCGGTATTTAAAATACAGCCAGAATCAACCTAGTAGTCTATCTGTACTATCTCACAAGGCATCTTTGATTAAAGTATTAGTTTTTGCGGGCCGGCAATCTGATTATTTCTTAGTTTTCGACACAGTTTGAGGATAATACTTAGTTGATTGATTGTTACAGTAGATCAGGAATCTAAATACTTGTTGTTTTTTAAGAGTGTTCTAGGCGTATAAGAAGGGAATATTTTCTCAAATGTTATAGAACTGACTCTAAAAGAACGGTATTTAAGATACAGCCAGAATTATGCAAGTAGGCTTTTTGAATCATGTAACTTTTGTGTCAGAAATGTTATGTGAATTACACGAAAACCCCAAAAGCACAGCATTTCTTAAATAAAAGGGTTATATCCTCTGCATGTAAAAAAATGCGTTTTTTAGATTTTTTTTAAGTTGCTTTGTATCTAGCAAACAAATAATCGATGATTCATTTTAATAATTTCTGAGTTACTCTTATTCCGCACCGATCTCCAGAAGCGCCTCCGAAAAAAGGTGTCCGGCAGAGAGGAAGATTTTTCTGCTTGAAATTACTTTGAATCCAAAAACCAAAAAAATTTATTATTAAAACAAGAAAATTTAATATAATTTTGTTATTTAACAAAATGACGGGTTTTCCAAAAAAAAAAAATTGGTTTTTTGTAAGAAACTTAGACATCAGAAAAGCTTCGAAAAATTTGAATTATTATCAAAAAACTTATCCCTCCTATTATTACCTGGCCAATATATCTTAGAAAGTCGTGTTTTAAGTCCATCGGTCCAGCCATTTATAAATTTTCCTCACCCACTCTGTAAAGTTTTGGGACGCAACTACAACAAGTTAAATAAAAACTGTAAACAAATTTTTGTAAATACTTTCTGAATTTTCGGGGAATATTTTCAAATGTAGTATATGCAAAGAAATCGAATTTTTCGGACAAAAATTTCAAATATACATACATACATATATGCAAAAACATCGATTTTTTGAAATTCACAAGTGGAAATAGCTCCTAAAGGTTGTAAAGCTCAACCATTTTTACACCTAATCCTATTATAAAATCAACCCTTTAAAAAATTATTAAAAAAAACTTCTATCAATTTTCGATAGCTGACACTCATACATACATAAGTTATATATATTTCTATATAAACGCACTCTCTTCATTTCGTACATCGCTAGCTTCAAAGCTCTTAAGCCAATATTAAATGTAGCATAAAAATACAAAAGCGATTAGAGTTTCAAGTTCAACAATTCAACCAAAGCACACACACATACGCGCACACAATCGCATGACAACTACACACACACACACAAGCATAAATAAATATAAATATAAGATACATTTGATGCATGAAAAAATGGGCAAAAGCCAGGCGGGCAATCGAGCGGGTAGCCACTTCAAAATGAACGCCACACTCCCTTCCAAACACAGCAGAAAAAAAATGCAAAAGTAACAACAACCAAGCGCACAACAAATTCAAATATGATCTTTATGTGTGCGCTGCTGAGAGCACCGTGTGAAATCGAACACATTTTCGGCATTTTTAACATGCAACAATGGCAATACACAACAACAACAATAGCCATTGCTGACAACAAATTGTAACAATACGATGGCAATACACAACAACAACAATATTAGACGATACAAAGCAATAATAAATAGTAACAACTTCCGGTTGATTGCCGCCACTTGGCGTTGGAATGGCAACGCTGCCAAATACAGTTCTCCAACGAGGAGAATGGCGCAAGCAATAGCCCATTGTGTGCGGTGGAGACGTCTGTCAAGTGCTTGTGCGTCGCATAATAGCGGATTACATGCATTATCCTTGCAACTCCTGTCACTAAATCGCACTAAATGTGTATTGGCAATCAGAAATGATTATCCTGTCAGTGTCAAATCGCCTGAATGGTTGGTGTTGCTGTTGCCAGTGATGCTCGATAGCCATCGAACTTTGTCTCCCTATGTGTTTGTAAAAGTATGGGCTAACATGACGGAGGGGTTTTGTGTCGAGTTACGGACTTTTTTTTTTGTTATTAAACGGTGCCTGCAAGGTAGAAAGACTCTACTATATGGAGGCATATATAAAATGTGCAATGCTAGAATCTCGCCGTTTCGTCTTTTCTTTTGGAGTGGAGTCAGAGCTCTTAATTGTGCGAAAAATCCAAATACCTTCAAAGTAAGTCCAAGTAATTCTGGAGATATCCAAAAAAAAAATGCTATTTTATTGGGTTACGTTGAAAATGTGGCAGACCCATAAATTTGCTTTTTCAACCGCATTTATTGGATGCCATCTGCATCCTTCGCCTTTAATCGGACGCCAAAATCTCGTCTGCTAACAAAACAACAGAGTACATATTATATGTCACGTGTAGGTGAGGTTGACAATTGAATGGCGGAAGGTGTATATTCGGTTTACCATCCCTGGTCCATCTTGCGTAATTTTGATGGCTTCCCAGAGGCTAGCACTAGACACTAGACCGAAATAAACGGAAAATTCCGCGGAGCCATAGGATACAGTATAGTACTTAACCCTCGTATATATGAACTTTTCTCTCGTATTCGATTATGACCGAGTGGCGCTATCGATTACAATACCTTTTTTACTTTGAGATCATGCATTGATAGCTTCCCATCTTTCGATTAGATTAACTGCACTGCGACTTGTGGTGTATTGCGCGCTTTCCTATCATCAGATAACTTCACCTGTCCCAGTTATATCAAAGAAGCGTAATAGCAGAATTGGCCACTCAACGGATTAATTGCTCCGATAGCCTGACTCATTCTTTTTGCGATTTCGGTGCAATCAAAAAATATATTATGGTATTTCCGCTGCAAAATCGAAAAACTGACATTGCCCTATGGAACGAAATCCTAGATCAGACCTTAGCCTTCAAGAACCCGTTTACATCGCCACTTGCTGGCTTATTTGTTACTGAGAAGCAAAATTAGTTGCTTGAACCTTTTTGTGTTTTAGCCTCCCTGAAACAGCTTAACATTGCGAAGCCCAGCCGTTTGTTGCCAGTAGCGATTCCTACATACGTTCTTCTTTCTCGTAGGACTTTATGAAGTGTATGTGGCTCTACAGCAAAGACTCGGTTCTATTGGCTTAAGTGTCGCAGTTTCTTTTGCTAGGAGGTTGTCAAGTTAGTGACATATAATGCCTTCATAACCAGGGATCCATGTTGGAAAGGTGTTAAGCTCCTGGAATAACTTTCTAGTTTTAGTTTGCTTTTGTGATCCTCAACCAGATTTGAAAGACAAACTGGAAGACTTAATGACGACTTGAGAAAAACGAATTAAAATCTTAAGGATAGTCTGAAAAGAAGGGACTAGAAGTCTTGCACAGTCCATTGCAAAATACATGGGCATATAAGAAAAGTCTGATAAAAAGAGACTGGAAATCTGATTTTAAAAAATAGACTGTAAGTCTTAGAGACAGTCTGATAAGACAAGAGATTTGAAATTTTGAGGTTAGTCTGTTAAAACAAATACCGGAAGACTTAAGGATAGGCTGACAAAACAAAAACTTGAAGTCTTTGAGACAGTCTGATAAAACAATGGATGGATCTTAGCGACAGATTGATATGAAAATATACGGGAAGTGTTAGGGACAACCCGATAAAAAAGAGACTGAAAGACCGTCTGATTATATACATCATACACATACATACTAGAAGTTTAGAGGCTATTTGTGAAAAAAAATAACTGGAAAGCTTCGTTACCGGAAGAAGGAGGAAGACAGTTTGTTAGAAAAACAGACTGGCTAAAGTAGATACAGTAAGTCTTTGGGATAATTTGATCAAAAAGAGACTGGAAGTTTCGGAGACAATGCGATAAAAAGGACATTGAAATATTTAGAGACCGTCTGATATAAAATGGGATTGAAGTTTTGGTGATAGTTAAAAAGGAGACTGAATAAAAATAAATTCTGGAAGTCTGATCAAAAGAGATATT